TTCCTAATCAGTCCTTCTTCCTGGGCAGTAGAGACATCTGGCGGTCCAATTTTCCTTCTCTAAAAGATGGTTCCTTTCCTGTTTTTCTAGCTGCACCCTCTATGTTGGTCTCTGCCCTCTATATTTGAGTACAGTCCCTTCTGATGCCACTGTCCGTGGTTCGGGCTGAGACCTCCAATTTTAGAAACGGCATAAGCGTCTGGGTGCTAAGGGCCCCCAAATTACAGTCTGCAGTAGTGATAGCAAAAGCTGCCTCTACTCTTGGTTTGGTCACAAAGACCGTCTTAGGGCCCTTCAACCAGATGTGAACTTATGGAAACTCCCATTCTATTTTTGTGTCACGCCAGGCGCGTACTTGATCTCCATTAGCTCATCTGTGGTGCAAAGGCTTCATATGAGGGGGTTTGAGGAGGGCAGAAAGCCTTCCCTTGTGTGATAGTGCTGTGCTTCCTTGGCTGTAATGCCTTTTGTAAAAGTACAGAGATAGCTCGAATTCGTTGGAACTGGCCTCGGTAGTTCGAGGCATCCGTAGTTCTAGGGATCTGTAGTTCGAAGAATATCTTTAAAAGATAAAGAAGGAAAAAAAAACCCGGGACCGCAGGCACAGTTCTACAGATGCATGGGTGATTTTGAGTCTTCTGTGTTTGACCTGTCTGTGTTATACATGTACTGTAAAAGCACCAGTTGCTTTCACTAGTAGGCGGGCATCTGTCATGATGTGGGTCTCCATCTGTGCTGGTGCTGTGCAGCAACGTGGCCACCACTGATTCTTACATTAGCAGTGGAAAGAGTTGAACAACCTCAGAGGTTTTGTGTAATAGGACTGGAGACATCCAATCTTCTCCTGGTTGAAAAGAATAGAAGAGAAAAAAAACCTGGAACAAACCCCATAAGAATAAGGATTTAGGTGTTGTTATTATCCTCTGCAGACAGAAGCTGGCAACGCATTCAATGGCAAAATTGTAATTGCAGACTAAAAACCCATTTAACACTCTAAGCAGCAGGGAGTTATTTATGCAGATGCCAAGCACAAGAATTCAGCTGATAAGAGTCCAATTTCATTTATAACAAAAACCCAAAAAGGACAAGAAAGCAGAGTACACTCAAATCCTGCAAAACTGCCACCCTGTTTTACTAGCCCAGCTTTCCACCAGGTTTTGCCAATGCACGAAAAGGAACGCCGTTATAAACATAGGCTACTATTTGCCCCCTACCTGAAATGTAGCCTACTAATGTTAATTTTCCTCCAAACCCCTTCACTCTTGGCCACCAGAGGTGCTGCGTGCACCGTCTACATACAGTGCACACTTTACACACTACACACCAGCGACTCAGCAACTGTGTACGCCTAGCCTAGGGCCTAGTGATAATCTCCCTTTCTCCACTGACACACTTGTCTGAGTCTCAGAGTGAGTGAATGCATGAAGTAAGCCTACCACGAGACTACAAGACGATGGGCATTAACCCCTTCATTACACAGGGTCAGTTTGTGCTTCACCAGACAGTTGTTGATTTTGATCTCCAGGGACAAAGAGTAGCGCTAGATAAGCGGTTGGTTGCATTTATATTATTTTATGATTAGACTCAGTTTATAAATTCTACTATCTCTAAAAGGAAAAAACATTTCTGGAAATATCCCCAAAAATGTGTCTGAATGTGAATCTGCAATTAGTTTTATGAAATACATGTAATGAAGCAGTTTGCCAAATGCAAAATATGATACACGGCGTTCATCATTATGGTCCTCATGCTTCACAAGGCATGACAAGCACCGTAGGTCCCAGGAGAACTTGCTTCGTTCTCCATTAAAAGAAAAAAATGAACAAACATCCATCATATCTTAGGTTACAAACAGGGTAAGTTTTGCTTGAGGGGAATAGCGCAATAATTGTTGATTGATGGGAATTTGAAAATTAGGGGATAGTCAAGCGAAATTTCTTATCCTCAAATACGGTACCTGAGTCAGTATGCCAAAGGCTCTCTCTCCAAGCGTTACACCTCTCTTTTTCTCGATGGCTCTTAGATTTTGCAAAGTACAGAGCTGAGACTGAAATGATATGACATACAAAACATATTTCATTTATAGAACCATTCTCTCATTCTTGGAAGTATTTTTTTCAAGCCAACAAAATCACCAGTGAAAGGCTTACAAAGTTCAACAGTAATGAAAACAAAGCCAAACATGCAATTTTCTATCATCAAACTATTATTACATTTTCAATCACAGTACTTTTACTTGTGTCAGCTGCTGATAAAAGAGTTGAAGCACAGTTGATGAGCATAAATAGGTTTAAATGGAGGGAAAGGGGTGTATTATCTCTCACACTAATACTAGGCCTAATCTGAATCAGATCAGTATCAATAAAAGTGCAGTTATTGTTTGCCTTTTATTTCTCTTCACTTAAATTGAATAAGACATTGTTTTCAATGAACTAATCACTCTATACGTATAGCCTAAGTATTAGTGAGGCATTTTTCTGAGAGAGATATCGAGTATCTGAAATAAATCACTCTGATTTCTCATGACACGTAAGAATCAAAATCAATTTTGACTTACTCTTTTGCCACATGGATGACACACACCACCTCCTTCTGAGTATGGAATCATAGGGGTTGAAGGCCAATACAGTGGGGATGATTTTGAATCTCCATCACCAATGAGTGAGGTGTTCCTCATCTTGTTCTGGAGTGAGCAACCCCATATGACACGCTTCGCTCTCTTTACCAAGAGGGGCCACTGTAGTTGACCTGACATTCAGGCTTGTGGATTTACAGTCATAAGTCAAACTTATCAGTTGTCAGCTGGGCCTTCACAGATTAGCAAAGCTGGGAAAATACACAAGCGGATTAGTGAATTACCAATTTGTCGGTAAAACAAAGCCAAAAAAACCCAGCTAGAGAGAAAAGAATTTGGCAACAAATCACTACTAGTATACTACGTAATGTATCCTAAAGGCACCAATGTTAGAGTACCTCAAGTTAAATAGGGGAATCACCGTCACTTATATTTTTCACAGCAGTTTGTATCAATTTGTCTTAACTTAGTCATATTTTCCCCCGACAATGGAGGCTAGATTTAAAAACTTTTCTTCTTTAATTTATGTACCGTATACATTAGTATAAATCTCCGCCGCGCGTAGAAATGGGATTGTTCCCAGCACTTCTCGCCTCTTGCGCACATTTTGTATACCCATAAGGCCTACGTCACAGCTCACCAATGACACTTTTAATGGCAAAACTTGCTGCAAGAAATTTATTTTATTAAATTATAGTGAATATATTTTTTGCTCTAAAGGTTCTCCAAACATGCGTTCAATAAGAATAAAGTCGCAATAAAAAAAATGACAGACACGCTTTTAAAGGCGATATTGCTCGAGCTGTTTGTAAACTTTTTAAAAGCTGTAGAAACTATAGACTTGGGTTTTTTAAATTAATATTTATTAAGGAATTTGTACAGGTGTTTGAAGAAATATTCATCAGTTAAGAAAAATTGATATAAGTCATAGTGCATACGTTGGAGGTTCAACGAGTTAAGGAGATATTTTACATTAAGTTACGCCACGAATTTTTGACCACACTATAATAAAAATTTTCATCTTTGAAGGAGAAATACTATTGTATAGGGGAAGGAGGGGGGGGGGGGGCTGATAGTGCAGATTGCGGCTGACACTAATAATGCTTCTTTTTTGTTTCAATGTTTATGCTTTGTTTTGTTTTGTTTTTTATATTCCCCTGACAAGAAGAACGGTTACATAAGGGTAAACGGCCCTTGGTCCACCCAACCACACTTAAGTGCAACCACTTTCACTATCTTCTAAATAAAGCAGGAGAGTGGAAAAAAACAACTGAGCACCTTCCCATGGGTTATCTGTTGACTCATATTCCACTTCCTTTTTCATTTCCCCTTTTATTTAAGCCGGTAGGAACATTTTTAAAATGTTTGTTCAAAAACTTGGCTTGCGTACTAGTTGTTTTCTTCAAAATGAGTCATTGATTATTTCCTACTAAATGTAAATTTAAGCATTTTTAGTACAAAAGACAGTGGAACGTCGGTGGTTGCACTAAGGGCATGGCGAAATCTCCCAAGCCCTATATACAACCAGGCTGGTCGCAGGTTAGGCATGATGTTTTGTTTTACGGACCAAGATGCAACAATCTCTTGGGTCATGCCAGAATAATTCTAGCCAACCTCTGGTTATGATTAGTTACAATGTAAGTTATATTTCTAGTTTGTAACTTTGTATAGAAATGGAACCCCCAAAACACACTGTTGTTAATTTTATGGAGCATTACCGAGCATCTTACTTGCAGAAAACATAGTTTAAATAAACACAAATTTCAGTCTAGCACGCACAAGGGGAAGAAAAAAAACCGCACATACTGAAGAGATATTCAGACCTCGAATGTATTCAATACATTCTTTGTAGGCTTGTTCAAAACACACACATGGTGTTCTTATCATAGCGAAAAATTCGTATTGCATCAGCAAAGGCAGATATAATTAAATTGCTCTTTTGTGAAACTTCATCAAAACCTAGCTTTGCAGAACACTGACACTGGTGCATAAGGTCAAGAGTGCAATTCCTGTTGAAGTTGAAGAGGAAGCACGCTGACACACATGCTGAATGTACATGCCTTCACGTGACAGCAGATTCTCGACACGCAAACAACTTTGAGTTTTCAATTTTAGATCATTTTATTTTTCAGACTAAGCCCTCATCCTAAAGGTCGCGGGTTCGAAAACCCGCCAAGCGTCCAAAGTTGAGTTCTTGGAAAAGGCGTTTTACCTTGTAAACGAATTTTCCTCTCTTCACTCATGTACCTGGCTATAAACAGCAAAAGATCTTGTTAGCTTGTTAATTATTTAGTTTATGTAATCCTCAACTTGCACTGTACATGTATGCTTTCAGGGAAATCAAGAATGTTTCTGAGTCGTGTTCTAGGACTTACTGAAGTAAGAGTTTGTAAAATATAAACTGCATAGAACATTATCCTGCAGAGTGTGGATATGCGCTAAATAAATGTTATTATTATTATTATTATTATTATTATTATTATTATTATTATTATTATTATTATTATTATTATTATTATTATTATTATTATTATTATTATTATTATTATTATTTTTATTTTTATTTTTAATTTTATTATTTAGCGCCGTAAAACTTACTAAAACTAAACTATTATATCATTATTATTATCATCATCATCATCATCATTATCATCATCATCATCATCATCATCATCATCATTGTTTAAAAAGCAGAGTAGGAGGGAGAGTCTTGCTTGATTTTACAGAAGAAAAAAAGAATAAATCTAAAATGTTTAAAATTCGTTTTACTGAATCGACTCGACGTTTCTCTCCACATGTAGGCTTCCTCGGGAGCAACTGAGAGCCTAGACGGTAGTATAAGAGCGTATAGCTGAGAGTGCAACTAATGTAGCTATGTATAGTATCAGAGAAATGGGCATAACATAGGTTTTCAGGTTACATGCGGTTACCATGAGGCTGGACGAAAATGACTCGGTGCGAGCTAAGGCAATTGGGGCTAATTATAAAGAAACTGATGCTAATCTAGCAAGAGTATCAAAGCATTTTATCTATGGGACTATAATACGAGTGATCTAGCTTGTGCAACGACCCGGGGGAGGGGGGGGAGTTCTCTTCGTCGCAAGGCTGACAAGAGGTTAAATGTGTAAAAGTGGGATGAATAAGGGGCATCTTTGAGCGTACTATATAGAGACTCCCGGTAGGTAGCAAAAGGAGGGAGACAGAGGGAGACATCATCAATCATCATCATCATCATCATCATCATCATCATCATCATCATCATCATCATCATCCTCATCATCATCATCATCATTATCATCATCATCATCATCATCATTGCTATTATTATCACTTCACATATTATATGAGTCCAGGAATCAGTTCTGCTTTAATTTCTCAGACTGTATGTTCAAAAAGGCCATTGGAGTCCTTTCTGGGAGCCAACAGCATGAGTAAAATTTCGAAAAGAAATGCTTCTCTGAGTAACTCTTAGCCCACATCACAGCTACATAGGTTATGCACAATCAATGAAGTCATAAAGTTCATTCCAAAATAGGCCTATAATTCTGCGGTCTTCTTTGGGATGCAATAGCTCTGCAACCTGTTATAAGACGCTTAAATTGTCACTTTCATTCACATGCTCCATCTCTGCCAATTGTCAAGCAACCATTTGTGGCTAGACAAAATGGAGAAAACAATGATACAAATAATTACATTTATATCCACAATCTACAGCATGCTCTCTGCGCTTTACAACTGTTATTGCCCCAGAAGCAGACTCTATAAAAACACTCAAGAAGCATTCTAGGCTTCCCTGGAAGCATACAGTGCAACCTGCAAATTACATGCGCTCAAACACTAATGAACTGACAAAATCTGTTGATGACTTTGCTAGGTACCCATTCCCACCTGGGGGAAGTAAGCAACATTTATGTGAAGTGCCGTTCCCAAGGACACAGTGCCATGCCACAAAAGGGGTTCGAACCCATGATCTTACTGTTGCTAATTCGAGAGCCTGACCACTAGGCCAATGAGGGAACAAACTAGCGTAAAGTGCCTTTTCTAACGTTATACCGTCCAGCCAAAGATCTTTGGTTCAGCTTATAAGATTCGAACTGAACATACAAAGTGGTCAAGTAACCAAGTGGTTGCAGAGAGAGCGGGCTATAACCTCTTTGGAGTTGGAGCGGACTCATACCGAGTGCACACCGCCAATCAAATTCCTTTGACAGAGCCGAGACCAGCCAGATTTTCCTTCATGAGAAGGGCAAAGGCTATCATTTTGGCACAATTCGACAGAGTGATCAAAAGTTTATGACGACGTACATTGTATATATAGGGATAATTTAATGACAAATTGTGATAGTTTTACCATACTCAGGAATGCAACGTAATCGGAAGCAAAGAGAGTCCGGGTTTTTCGTACAGGGTAGTTTTGCCGCCTGTGAACACCCTCCCACCCTCCCTACCCCCTACCCAATCTCTCTCTCTCTCTCTCTCTCTCTCTCTCTCTCTCTCTCTCTCTCTCTCTCTCTCTCTCTCTCTCTCTCTCTCTCTCTCTCTATCTATCTATCTATCTATCTATCTCTCTCTCTCTCTCTTTCTTTCTCTCTCTCTCTCTCTCTCTCACACACACACACACACTCACACACACACACAAACCCACGCACGCACGCACACACACACACACACACACACACACACACACACACACACACACACACACACACACACACACTGACATGCGTGCGCACGTGCTTCCAAATCCTTTCTTTACCCTATTTCAGCAATTAGTTAACACCAGTCAGTTGAGAATCTCAATTAATGCTACAGAGAAATAGAAATCATTAACCCTAAACGTATCCGGGCGTGTAGCCTTCGCCAACAAAATAACTGCAAGGTACAAGGTTAGCGCTCACACACAGTCGCCGATTGCTACAGGCACTGTGGCTTAACGTAAAAACAAAACCCAAAAAAAAACAAAAAAAAACCCTCCGAAAGTCAGGAACTGTAGAAGAAGGAAAATAAACATAACAAGACTAGACGCAGAAGCCACAATTAATTTGCGCTAAAACTCTAACATACTGACAGGATCTTTCACTGTCTATGGCGGGTACCCATTCTCACCTGGGTGAAGTAGTGAAGTGAGAAAAATTCGTGTAAAGTGCCTTTCCCAAGGACACAACGTCGGGCCCGCGGCTCGAATCCCCGAACTCGCAACCTCACGATTACGAGTCCGGCAGCCTACTAGGCCACGCGACGCCACATGAGCACTACTAACTTACTACTAAGCAATTGTTAGAAGAATCAATTGCTTCCATTGATGACAATGTCGAAATAAGGGTTTTTATTTTTATCTTCCAAGAAATAAAATTGTGGGAATGGTGAAACGAAAAAAGGAAGACACAGGAGAGGAGAACAGAGTTCCGCGATAACTCTACAGACACATTAAATAAGCACCCTTCTGCTTTAACCCCTTGACGCATTCCTCGCACTTTAAGCCTTTGTCTCACATTTAATTTCACCTGTGGTCACGAATTTCAATTAAATTCAACCAAACTTGATTCTGTCTTTTTTTAAAAACAAGCACCTTGTGTCCCCTGGCTACCCCCACCACGTTTATTCAGTAAAAATGTATGCTCGTTTATTCTTGCATTGGAAAATTTTAAAAATCTAATGAAAGCAACCAACAAATAACACCAACACAATCACCACCATCAACAGCAGCAACAGCAACAGCAGAGCGCAGCAACAACAACAAATGAAAGCTTTTACTCCATAGGTTATCCATGGGTGCCCCCCCCCCTCCACCCCTGGTCTTATAAGAGAAGATAGTTAACAAAAGGTATATAATCTAATTGTAATGTCAGATCACAGCTGCTACCGGTGTCTCCAACATAATAATAATCTAATGGCAACGTCACGTACGTCCTGAATTCGCAGTCATATGCCAGACTTTTCAATTTCTAATTTTGCCCCTGTAAAATGACCCAAAGCGTAGTGCAATTAATAGTTTTGCTTCTTTGCTCAAAGATATTGGATTGCATCAGATGTTGTATCAGCACGAACATAGTCTACATACATAATGTAGAGACTGAGAGAGAGAGAGAGAGACAAGGAGAGAGAGAGAGAGAGAGAGAGAGAGAGAGAGAGAGAGAGAGAGAGAGAGAGAGAGAGAGAGAGAGAGGGGGAGGGGGGGGGAAGAGAGAAAGGAAGAGAGATTTTTTTATTTTTTTTTTGGGGGGGGGTACAAGTGAGAGGGAGCGAAAGAGAGAGAGAGAGAGAGAGAGAGAGAGAGAGAGAGAGAGAGAGAGAGAGAGAGAGAGAGAGAGAGAGAGAGAGAGAGAGAGAGGGAGAGAGAGAGAGGGGGGGGGGCTGCCGAGAACGTTGCTGACTGTTGAGTTGAATAAAATACGTTCGCCTCTGGAGCAAAGGACCTTACACAAACACTGTTGTATACCTCCTTGCTCTGGAGGGGGGGAATTGAAATAATACACAATGCACTAACGGTTTACCGTAGATCTGATATTGCCAGAATAGACACAAGTAAGCATAAATTTTGTTGCCATTATAAATAGTTCTGTTTTCATATTCCAGAGCTTAAATAATAAAGTACAAGAATAATCTTGTCCACACATCAAGTTCAGAATTGATTTCTCTATTTAATTCGAATTCTTTACTTTCAAATAGGTGTAAGCTCAAGGCGATTAAAAATAAGATATTTTTTTTAGTGGAAAAATTCTGGCCAAACAAATCGTCAAGTTTCATTGGTCAGCCTGTCAACATGGCGACTTGGTTACAGCGTCTGAGTCGCGGAAACAAGAAGGGAGCCTGCTAGCGGCTGGGGTGACTCTGCTTGCTCTATGAGCAAACAATTTCCTTCTGCATTTTTGGTAAATCTTCAAATAATGATCATTATCTTTTGTGTTAGGTGTGAGGATATATATTACACATATGCGAAGAGACAAAATTTATCTCTGTGCTCTTTGACTAAGAGTGTAAGGTCTATTTTAGTCTAGAGATCTACAGACTAGAATCTAATCTAGAATCTAGATCTAGACTCTAGATCTACAACATTGATTCGGGATGTAAACAAAATAGCGACAGTCTGAGTAGCGGTACAAGTACAGAACAGAGTGTAGATTAGTAGATCTAGATCTAGATCTGGGCCAATAACACTACTGTGACAAACCCCGTCCACTACCTTTATACTTAATGAATTCAACCTATGCTCCATTGTTTAACCAATTTAATTTTCTGAAACTAATCAGACAAAGCATTGGCGTCCCCAAAGCATAAATCCAATCTCTGATGATAATAGCCTGGCCCTATATAATGATTGAGCAAAATCAACTGGGATTCCATGCTTGCTTGCTCTTTATTCTGTATACCGGTGCTGATACTGACACGTCAGTTATCATATACAGTCGAACCTTCCTTAATGGAAACCTATGTATAACGGAAACCTATGTATAACGGAAACCTATGTAAGACGGAAACCTGTCTGAACGGAATCTCCCCGCTCCCCCCTTGATATATTCCTCTTTAATTACCTGTATAAAACGGAAACCTGTCCAACGCGGAAATGGAAAGAAAAATCTGCTCCCTTCCTAGAGTTTTACCTGTGTAAGACGGAAAATGTTACCCCATCTATGTGAGCCCTGAGCGATGAAGATGGTCAGGGTGGTGTGGGTGTGAAATCTCACGAGTGCCAGTAAATTTTCATCAGGCCAGAGGTGTGAAATTAGTTTGACCAATGCCTGCTGCACTCATCGTACAGCCAGCTGAGACGAGAGTTCCCAGAATTGTTATATCATCGCAGTGACGGGTGGCATTGGTTGGCTGTGCTTATTACACCGATGGGTGGGGCCATAAGGATTGAAGCAAAGGAGATGTTCATATGTTTCTGTTTTTAATGGATCAAGTACAGTGGTAATATGAAATGCAAGCACTGGAGGTAATTGGATAAATAAGACTGACTCATGTCATTATCAGAGAAGATAGCAGCTGAGAGGTGTGAAGTTTTGACTGCTTGCCGACTGGACATGCGATCCTTGATTCCACCGGCTGGGCCTTTGAACACCCCTAACCCCCCTCCATCTCCACACTAAATTCCCCTGTCAAAGAGGGAAAATGTCTAAGACGGAATATTTTTTGGGTCCCTTACGTTTCCATGTTACTCAGGTTCGACTGTGTTCTGATCTTTAAATTCAAAATGTTAGGCCTACAAGACAATGTGACAATATAATTGTCCTACACCCACTGATCTGGGTTCCTACTCAGTTTCACTGTCTACAGGTAGTTCAGTTTGTTAACCTCCTATCAAAGTTCATCTCACAGCCGGAAGACTAAAGTACGTAGCCTCCCCATCCCATATTGAATTCTGTACTCAGAATATATCCGAACTCACCTGCTATGCCCACAATCTATTCCATGAATTTGGATGTTCACTTCTTATTGTTTGTTATTCTGAAGTCAAAAGAGGGCTGTCAAAAACGATTTCCACTAGTTCAGGATAGAACGAAATATGCTCATATGAATATGTCAGTAAATTATCTGAGCAGTAGCGCAGCCACACATTTTTATTATCTCTGGGGGGCTTTTCTTCCTCGTTCAATTTTTTAGGGCTTCAAATAGCAAGTTCGATCGTGACTTGAGTCTTTACACATCAAACCAGACTTTAAGGCCTACCTCAGACTTTGTCTTTTTCATCCTTCATCTCATTTTCACCTTTATCTTTTCTCTCGCCACTCCCCTATACAGGGCTGCTTTGTTTCCTCGATTCGAATGAAGCAAAATTAGCACATCTCTGGTAGTCGATGGGCTGTATAACTTCTCAATCTATTTCAATATGGAATAACTTTATGTATTACTTTTGACTTTGAAAGAATTTTTGGGTTTTGTAAAACGAAGGAAAAGTTCTTTGAACTATCCAGCAGCAGAAAGGACACTGGTCAGGCATTTAGGAGTCATAATACAGAAAGATTACCAAAGCAGTTCTTTTATAATGTATCAGTCGCTCAAATCAACCAAAGAATAAGATGACCCGTGTGGCAGTGAGAGACCACCAGTTATGTTGATAAAGTCAAACCCGCCAAGCCAGACACTGTACACTTGACCACTTTCCATTCCCCCCCCCACCTTGCGTTTTTAAAGATAATGGCACTGCATGAACTGATAACCTGTCCAACAAGGCCTTAAAAGATGACTTCACAAACCTCCCTTTGCCTGGTGCATTGCCACGAATTAAATATTGGCCCTGATGCTGTGGACGAGCTTATGTAATCCATTCCCCTCTCGTAATTGTTAGTCCTTTTAATGAATGAACTGATCATATTGTGTAGGTCTCTCCCACTGTTTACCCAATTTGACCAGTCTGTAACAAATTTTCCACTTCAGATGAGGGAGACGTGCGAACCGTCATGAACCACAATTCTAACCATACAAGAATCATATAAGTGAATTGAGCAGTTGCTCTGTTGACCGAGTTGGTAACAATGGAACTTAACCTGAACTTGAGACAGAAATGTCGCATAATTGCTAATTAATGGCGACCCCTTTGTATGTTTTTTTTTCATGGCATTTGGTCTTCCTCGTGTAACACACATTTTTTGTTTGTTTTATTGTTGCACTGCACACTGTCTTCCTCATCTGACACACGTCATAGAATTTAACACTCACAGCAGCCTTAATTGAAGCCTCCCTTTCCAACTTACCTCCATATGAAAAAAAAATTGAATCGGCCTTACGACAGTCTAAGCTTTCGACCACCTCTGGTTGGGACGTCAGAAGGAAATGGTTTGTTTTCTTCATTTTAATCAGTCTTGCCTAAGACGGCCATCGATTGTGGCCATCTCAGACAATTTAGACTGTATTTTACATGTAAAGGGACACTACTAAAGATAGTCACGCCAGGCACAAAAATATATTTATTAGATGAGTTATGCCCCTTACAACATTTGTGCCCCTGTTGCAATGCTTTAGGGAATTTTTTTAAAGGAAAAATTCATGAGAAACTAGAGATCTTAGAATCATTTTCATAACGTCTTTTTTAGGGGTAGGGGAGGGGTGTTTTCTGTTGTGTAGACTACTAGGGAAGGGAGGAGGCAGACGATTGTTCTAGCAGGGCAGTTGTTATAAAATTGTATAAATGTGTCAAGATGCGGTGGTATTAGGCAGTCGTAAATTTTGGGGCAAGGAGTTAATGGTTTAATCTAAAAGCTTGTTCATTTGTCTTGCTTTCGATGCAAAACATAGAAGTTGAGATATTTGCGAATGAAGAAGGTGATGGTAGCCTGGTTTCAGAGGTAAAATTAGTTAGAAAATCGCAGCCAAAGTTTGGTGACTTCCAAAACTTGAGAGTCCTGTGAAAATCTGGGGGGGTTGGTTGGTAAGTTTTACGGCGCTCGCAACTGCATAAGGTCATATGAGCGCGTGAGACACCTTGAACTTTTTCAGTTGGTAGGAAATTTTGATTTTGCCCAAGTGGCGGCCTAAGTCTACTCTTATCGATTTTAGACCACCAAAGGATCTTTAACATGCGCAACTTGCACGCGGACCCTCCAAGATTTTTCGCCCTTGTCCGAGATGGCTAGCTGTAGATCTTTCCTACCTGAAGATCAGGGGTGTGGCTGAAGGAAAGCAGTAAGAAGGAGCCAAGGAGTAGCAGTAGAAAGGCTGCAGAAAGAATAGGAGCCCAAGGAGCCCAGTGGAGGGGGGGCAAAGGAGGTGAAGGGGTGGGGGCAGAAAGAGGAGACGAAAGCAGATGACAGAACATTGCTAGAGAGCAGAAAAGGAGGTGAAAAGAGACAATTTTAGAGAAGAAAATTCGAACCCGTGAGTTTTGAATGAGAGGCGAACACCTTAACCTCATTCGCTACGTATTATTTTCGGCTTGTGGACGAATTTTTTTCGGGAGGGCGAAATGTGATGATGACTAGTGCGCAGTTCACAGGTCTTGGGGGCCATAACTTCAAGTAAATATCAACATATTATATACCAACATTTTCAGTATGGTTTGTAGAATACATCTGTATTGTCTATTTGAGTATTTTTCCACTTTGGTTCCTGTAAGAGGCGATTACGCAACACAATTGTGATTGGCTGCGGATAAAATTTGAAAACAAAAAACTTATAATCTCAGTTGAAACTCAAAAAATATGCTTGCACCTAGTCAAATTATACATCAAAATAACCATAACTGTATATAGAACAGGAAAATATTGAAAAATGAGCAGTTTTCTCATACATTCCATAATATTTGTACATTTGGATCATAACCTCCGATATTGTGAAAAAAAAAATTTTTTTTTATAATTTTGAAAAAAGGATCCCAAACAGAAAAAAACACTCGTATCTTATATGGAATTATTCATCTGGAATAAACCTATACATGTCTTGGATGGTACTTTTTGAGTAAATTCACCAAAAAGTAGTGATTTTGAGGAGAAAAAAAAATATTTTGACTATTTAGATCTAGGCCTAGATCTAGCACTCAAAAATATTGATTTCTCAATTACAGTGCACTGGCAATTTGAGTCCAGTAGTATCAATATTATAAGAAGAGTCCTACACTTCTTTAGTGAGCAAAATAATGATACATTTTGTTGTGTAAAAGTACAAAGACTGGTGTCTGGCTATAATTTGGGCTTCGCGATAAAACAATGTCGCATAAACTTCGAAATCGTGTTTCAAAACTGAATCAAAACTTCCGATTCTCGGTGGAAACACTTGACCCGGAAGACAACTTTATATTATGACCTTTATTTTAACATGGATATGTGGATTGGAATAGAAACCAAGCTAAAATTGAACGTCGGTTCTCGAGCCGCCGTAGCGAATGAGTTAATGTACTTTTTATTTGTGTCTTTTATTTAAAAAGTTATCGATAAAATCCACATTGAAATGTGTTTTTACGTGAATGTAAAATGTGTCGAGCCAAAAACAAAAATTTTGATAAAATTGTCAAATGGCAGGAAAAATCTAGTATCTTTTAATTCATTATTTTGACAATCACCAGCTTATTTCACTAAAATGCCTCACAAATGTTTATTTCTAAATGCAGTTATTCAATTATTGCAATAATGACCTTTTATCTGTTTAATGCTATGAAACGAGCCCCAACTTAACTGCACTTTTACTATTGTTTTCTTTTCAGGTTTTCAGTTCTTGCTGTGAATATTTTGAACACTTTATGCAAGTGTTTTAAACTTTTCTTTAAACGTTGAGAACACTATTTCATTTTCCAAGATGCCTGTGTACATCCGGAAAAATGTCTCCTACACACCACCATCTATCTACAACATACAACTGGAAGATGATAACGACTATCTTCTGGACCCAGACCAGTTGCGAGATATTTTGCCACAGCCGTATCGCATGATCAACAAAATTTTGGTCCAGTTACTTGATAATGTTTGGGAAATTGTTGAAGGCAAGGAAAATACCATACTTGCAGAGGCGAGGAAAGTGAGGCCACCACGTCTTGAGGAGCCAGAGGAACTACCAGTAAGAAACTTACTTAAACACCCTCTGAATTACTTTTCTCATATATGTATCACTGATATATTGAATAGGGTCAAAAGTTTGTTTAATTATTTTCATTGTATTACTTTTGTAACATCGGTAAACATCGACATTCAATGACTATCCCTGTGATGTATAACTACCACTACAATGGTTCATGGAGTCATCAATTTATAATTATGTCCAAATGGTTTCAACTGCCCCAAAAAACTACTTTCTGAATGAGTTGAAGTAAGTAGACTTGATAATGTAAAAATCTTTATTGTATTTGAAGATCTTGAATTGCGTACTCAGCCGGTACCATTCAGCAGCAATTGTGGGTGTATAGGCTTACAGAGTAAACTGTTTCACCTGGTAATCACCTGATACAGGAAGTGTTCCAGAAGGAGCATGTTACTTTGAGTTGTCATGTTGCAATAACTCTCACATCCTGTAGACGCTTTCTTTTAAAGTGAAGTTTATCTATTTAAAGTTGTTGTTACTTGAACATAAAATAACACTAACCTTTTGTTTGCCTGCGTTTACAACAGAGGTTAGTCAAACCTGTTTCTCTCCGGATGGTGATCCTTCCTCAGCGATGGGGCCTCGATGCGTTGGAATCTCACCCACAACACAGAAATAAACCGAGGCTCTAACTAGCCTTTTATCCACCCAAAATTTCAGCAGGCCTCCTCTGCCTTGCTACAGCTCTCTCCTCTAAAGTCTGACCTGTAGTAATCCAGACTGCTTTTATACACTTGCACCAAACAATACAACTGAACTGAGACTCATACTTTACCCACTCACTCTCTCTGCTTTACACACTTTCGGCCAAACAAAACAATAGGCTAGGCCTAACCCCCTGCCACTGACCTACACACCAGATTGTAAATTAAACATTCAGATATACCACAAAAGTAATACGCTCACTTGAATTTGCATACCCCAAGAGCCTTGAAAATGTTGAAAAGACGTTATTCCTGAGCAAATATAATCCATATATTTTTTACAATCCTTCTAGGTCTTCAACAATGCCACTGCCCTCAAAGAAAGTGTGGATGGCAAATACATTTTTGTTGGTCTCCCCAATGGACTCGCTGTTATGGAGACCCAAACACAGACCCAACTGCATGCCTGGGAAGAGGAACACGCAGAAATCACAGACATTAAAACCTACCTGATTTCCCCGGACTGGCATCTCATCGTAACAGTGGATGATATGGGTAATTTGTTGTTTGTTTGTTTTTAAAGACACATTGAACCAGATATCATCCAAGCAACTTTCATGTGCTCAAGATGATAGAGGTACTATTGATACCTTACCATCTTCTGATCCCTGTCAACCTTGCAAAGCGTTGGTTAAACATGAATATGGGACGATAGATTACTAAGATCTGCCCTGAGAAAATGTAGATGGTGGACGTATAGGAAAGTCCTTGCTGAAGCATTGTCTGGACAGATGTCTCATGGGACTGTAATACTGAATTCTGCACCTTTTGAGGTTCGAATGGTGCATGTTTAACCTGAAGTGGCCGTTTTGTCTGGGAATTTTTAGGTCTAATTCTCTTTAGCCTATAGTTCCGAACTGATGGAACTTTCTACCTATAAAGAAGTCCTTGAGAGCTTTTTAGCATTTGCCTCTTTCCTTTCATGAAAATTACAAAATGTGAGGGATGGTGATTTGGTAGGGAGGAAATATTCAATACTAAATGCTCTCAGCTTTTTAGTAAACTGAGCCGTGATCTCAGCAGGCAAAATAAAGTTGAGACTTTTGCTGGCCAGCTAGCTGCTGTAGCTTGCTACATAGTCCTATTGTTACGACATTAAAAATGTAGCAGGCCTAATACGACTGGTGTGTCATGCTAAAAAATTATGGACTAGATTGAAATTGGGTGGTTTTGTTATAAGCCAGGTAGAGTATAGCTATTCTGTGAAATAATCCAAGATGAATATCAGCCAATTTCCCTTTAAGTTCCTAATAAAATTGAAATTTGAAAAGCAAAACTACAGTGAGGAGGAAAATATTTACCAAAGAATTTGTAAAGCTTTTTTGATCACCTTGTAATTATACACGTAATACCAAGTATCATGCTCTTGGCTCAGTTATGTATGTATGTGTCACGACGTGGTGGAATCAGGCGCTCATCGATTTTTGGGTATGTGGAGTTATTGGTATCATCTTAAAGCTTGTTCAGTTGTCTTGTTATTGGTGAAAAAAATGCCCATCTATCTTTAATAGAAGTCAAGATATATTTGAGATTAAAGAAGGTGGGGTTGCCTGGTTTCAAAGGTAGAATTAGCGAGAAAATGGTCTCCAAAGTTTGGTTATTTCCATAGCTTGATTGTCCGTGGATACTGAAAACTGACATTTTGTCTGCCTTTAATCAACATTTTTCTTTAAATACGCCCAGAAATGTGTTCTTAATTGGACAACAATGGTGTTAAGCCAAAAAACAAAAATTCAATAAAAATTGACAAACTGGCAAAAAAAAGCCAATTTCTTCAATTTCATTACTGTGACGAGCGCCTGGTTTCACCATGCTGCCTCGCATATAATTCTTTATATTATTTGCATAATTCTGAGAAAGTTACTCATAGAATACAATCTCTTTTTCTCTCAAAATTATAATTATCTATGCTGTTTTTTTATTTTTTATTTCAGCCATTTCAAGACTGTTCCTGTTTGCCTTCAACCACATTTTCTTTGTCAAAGCGCTCAATGAAAATTCCCCAGTGAGTTTCCAAGCATATGTTCTGTTTTACTTGTTTCACTTCCGTTTGTATTTTATCGTGTGATGGACACACATTTAATACTGTTCAAGTAAATCGCTTATGGAGGAGAATGCGATACAGAAGATTAAGCCAATCAATTATCTGCTTAAGACATTTAGTTACTTTAAAAGAAGATACTGTGAAATATCTTTTAAAAGAGGATATTGATTATATTTTTTTTAAAGAAGATATCGTTGAATATGTCAGAATATTTTAAAATGTTCTTAGGTATTAATAAACTGTAAAGACCAAAGAGCCTACTTTCATACAGAGATAAAAATGCTCCCTTTTTTAAATTAAAAAAAAAATTTCTTCCATTTTACTGCTCACTCTTCAGCCCTCCTCCTTTTTCAGGAAGCCACATCAAAGATTCTGTGCCAGAAGTGTGAAGCATCAAAAGACGGAGATTATGCCGGTCTTGTACTGGAAAGTAAGATTACTTCCAAACAAATATACTGACGAGCAAAAGAAAGTGGGCACCCTCCGTTCTGTGCATTATTTCCGTTCTTTGCCGTTGTAATGACGTATTGCAAATGGATTTTGAAAGGCTAGCCATTTTCTCAATAAGTGCAGACAAAAAGACTAAGAAAAACGATCAAAAGCACACCTTTTATTAGACATTAATAACACCGATTCGAATGTTCAAAATCCCAGAATTAGTAACAGGTGTATCTCCCACCAGCATTGATGACTACAGTGCATCTCCGCTTCATGGATTGCATATGTCATTGGATAAATTGCTGGGGAATATTATTCCAAGCATGAATTAGTGATTGCTGCAGTTGTGGGATTGTCATTGGGGGTGGCCAAAGTGTGCGAATTTCCTTTTCCATCTTGTTCCAGAGGTGCTTTATTGATTCCCATACCACAATGCTACGTTTGTCAGCAACAGCACTGACACACTGAGGTAAATAACGTTCATGACGTCTCCGGCAGACTTTCTGCCTTCCATCGTGGTGATCCAAAAGAAATCTGGACTCGTCAGAAAACATCACCCTGTTCCACTGGTCGTTTAGCCCTCGCCGATGCAGACGTGCCCAGTTGAGTCTGGCATGACGGTGTCTTTGGAGGAGACGAGTGCGTCGAGGTGGGTGTCGGGCAACGATTCAGCGGGCTTTCAAACGTTGACAAACGGTGAAGCGGCTGATTGGTTTATGTCCAGCACAATCTCTGACAGTTTTAGAAGCTGTTTGAAACCAATCCTGCAAGTCTGGAACTCTGATCCGATTGTCTTCAACCACAGTAGAGACACGAGGACGACCAGACCTTGGAGTGTCACTAACCGAACCTCTTGCTTGGAAGTGTATCCTTAGCTTCTGGATAGTATCTCTCTTCACATCGAAAGCTCTAGCTACAGCAGAAACTGTCGCATGAGCTCTGAGCATGCCAAGAGCTTCCTGGCGTTGTGCTTCACAACACGTTTTTGGCCAAACGGGTTGTAGGCTAACACTTTTTATAACAACAAAATAAACAAATGTTGTTCTGACCAACTTTCTAAAGTGACACAAGCTCAGCATGACAATCGTCAAGTCAAAATTCGCGAGACTACTCATACAGCACCAATTTGAAAACTGCCCACTTTCTTTTGCTCGCCAGTATAGAAAGTATTAATAAGTTAAATATTTGACTTTTTGAAAGTGATATCATAATAGAACGAGAAACTGTTTAATGTAAGACATGGTACAGTCATTAAGTAGTTTTCAGCGAAAGAAGATTTGGTAACTGCAAATAATTATTCAGTTCAGATATAATGTATACCAGGCCTGATAAAGAAAAAGGAATGCATTTATCCTCAAAATCAAATCTTAATGATTTTTTTCAACATAGTTGCATACTGATAAAAATGTTTCTGGTGTATGGTCGGTTTATCTATAAGTTTGCTTGTTACAGACACAGGAAGCAAAGAAGTGTGGTTTGAAGTTCACAAATTGCCAGTGGAAGGTTGGCAGAAAGAACTGGAGAGTATTGCTGCAGCTATCAGTAAACAAAAGGAGGAGGTGAGCTTATTGTTCTAATAGAGGTCTGTCTTAAAGTATTGGCCCAAACCTCTGTTTTTGTTTATGTGTTGGTGTGTAGGATGTATACCCACATTGGTACACTTTAGTAATGATAACTTTTTCTGTCCAAGTGGCACATAACCTTTTAGACATGGCTGTGGGTGGTTTTTGGGTGCTCTGGTATGGTTTGTTCCTTCTTTCCTATCAAACATCTACTATCCTCCTTCTTTTTTGAGTTTGTCACTTTTTTGTATGGCCTCTCATTTCTGGTAGTTTTATGACCTAATTGTGTTGCAAGTGCCGTATAACATATATACTAAAACATAAAACAAATGTGGCTAATAAACACGGGTTATACAGAGTTTTTATCCAAGTGTAACACAAATTATTTTAGCCCTTTCTCAAATGTTTTTCCCAGCAGCCCAATATTTATCCGGACAGGTCACTGAAAAGCTAATTGTGTCACGACGCAGTGGAATCAGGCGCTTGTCAATTTTTGAGCATGTGGCTGAATATTTTAAAAAACCCAGTATCTAGAATAGAAGTCGAGATATTTGTGATTTATGGAGGTAGGGGTCACCTGGTCTCAGAAGTAAAATTAGTGAGAAATTGGTGGCCAAAGTTGAGTGACTTCCAAAGCTTAGTGTCCTTGGATAGCCTACTGGAAATTTACATGTTTTGTGCCTTTGATCAATATTTTTCTGTAAAATCCACACAGAAATATGTTTTCGAGTAGGAATTTTAAAAATAATTTGGCAACTGACCAGAAAAAGTGCTGGTTTCTTTGATTTCATTATTTTGACGAGCACCTCATTTCACCATGCTGCCTCAAAATATACTTGTCGTAGGTCATTTAAGTTCACGATTTTTATTGAATGATGAATATGCCATTGCTCCGTTTTGAATGCCTGAAAAAGAAACTTAAAAAGCATTTCTGTTAAACTATCTCTTTGAACATGGGTTTTGCTCCTCGTTGAATTTATAGTTGCTTCAATTGGACGGCTTCTACCTTAAAATAAGTCAAGTTTAATCTAGGGATATATTACTTTCCAAAAAGCTGGCTCTTAAAGAACTAGCCTCGTATTGAATAGTCTGTCAATTTGCAAGGAATTTTTTTAAAAGTTATTTGTATTCACTTGGCCAGTGCTTCACTTTCTCTTCTCAGAAATCTTGTGCTTGTGACCATTGACTCGATCGATTAGACTCAAATACCTTGACCAGATTTGAAAGATGTTCATATTATTGTCATTGAATTTTCTCATGGTCCAAGGTTTATGTTCACCCTCTACACGTAGCCTATTCACTTATTTTTTAAAAAGTATTCACAAAGCTCTACTTCTTTAGGTGTACTTTGAAAACACAATATTCAAGACACTTATGTTCATCTTTTTCAAATACCATGTCTGAAACAGACATCAAAAATCATGTATCGCCACTCATTTCTCGGCTCGGATGCTTAAAAATATAACTGTATTAGCTGAGAAAGTGGTCATGTTCATAAGTTGACAAATGTATTGATATCTCAGAAGTTATCTCATTTCTTGTTTTCCCTCAGAATGAAAAGATTTTGGCTGAGAACGTGGAAGATCCACCAGAACAAGTTGAGGGTCAACCCCCACCAGAGCAGCCGCCACAGGTAATTTTTCTCTTGTTTGCTTGCTTGCTTTCTTTCTTTGTCCTTGTAATTTCTGTACAGTCTGGCTTGAAATCAAAACAACTCATACAAGCAGAGTTGTGAAAGACAGACAGAGTGTTTTATTGCAGATATGTCTTAGAAGGAATGTCTAACTGCTGATAAAGCTAAGAAGAGGAGGAAGAACTTTTGGAACTTGTGAATCAGTTAAAAGCAAACAGGGTCTTACCCGGTACTTATTATGGAGCAGGGAGCTACTCATGATGGATTATGAGTAACCACATCTCTTTACTCTTTCTAGCCAACTGGAGCAATTGTAATCATATATGTGAGACAGGGTAGTGAAATCAGGCACTCATCAAAATAATAAAATCAAAGATATGGGCATTTTGCCACCAGTTCGACAACTTTTTTCTAATTTTTGGTTTTTGGCTCAACACCTTTTCAGTCCATTCAAAAACACATTTCTGTGTGGATTTTACTGAAAGACATTGATTAAAGGCACAACAAATGTAAATTTTCAGTTTCCGAGGACTCTCAATCTTTGGAAATCACCATTTTTGGGCATGTGGACCATGCACGCACAACACACACTGTCCTATTAATACCCTGCACAACACCACACACACACACACACACACACACACACACACACACACACACACACACACACACACTCGCACAAAACTCACATACTCTCGCACAAAACTCACATACTCTTGCACAAAACTCACACACAGAGACCACACACACTCACGTGCACAGACAAATGCTGTCCTGATAATACTCTGCACAACACCACACACACATACACACACACATATATATATATATACACACACACATACCCACTCTCACACACATACACACACACATACACACACACACATATATATATATACACACACACATACCCACTCTCACACACACACACACACACCCACATTCACAGGCTTCTTTTATGTATGGTCTTGCCTCTAAGACTCAATACTGCATCAGGTCTATCTTAATGGAGCAAGATGTGACCTGTGGGTGGTTGGCGCGTGCTGTCATGTAGTTTACTCCTCCTTTTCTATCAAACATCTGTCGTCCTTGTCTCTCCTTCTATTTTTGCATTTGTTACTGTCTTGTAACACCTCTAATCTTAGGCACTTATCTGACCTTATTCTGTTGCAAGTGCCATGAAACTCTTACTACCCCCCCCCCCCCCAAAAAAAAACCCAAAAAAAACAAAAAACCCAAACAACTGATATGTAAGGCATCGTGATGAAATCAGGCGCTCATCAAGATAATGAAATCCAAAAAAACTCATTTTTCCGGCAGTTTGGCAATTTTTATCAAATTTTTGTTTTTTGGCTCAACACCTTTTATGTCCGCATAACAACACATTTCTATTTGTATTTTATTGAAGAAAACCTTGATTACAGGTACAAAATATGTAAATTTGTAGTGTTCAAGGACTCTCAAGCTATTGAAGTTACCAAACTTTGGTGGTCATTTTCTCACTAATTTGACCTCTAAAACCTGGTGACCCCCACCCTCTTCCATCAGAAATATCTCAACTTCTATTCAAGATGAATGAGCATTTTTTAAATCGAAAGCAAAGCAAATGAGCAAGCGTTCAAATAATACCAATAACTCCACCTGCCCAAAAATTGATGAACGCCTGATTCCACCTCGTTGTAGCACATATGTGTGACCCAATACTGCCTTTCCCCATTTCCAGCAGGAGTCTCCCCGTGCCCCTGTGCCTGAGAGCACAGTCATTGAGCAGCTCGGAGTAAAGTTCTCCCAGCCTAGTGTCATTCTCAAAGTGAAACCTCCGCATAAATTACCGTTGCCACGTAAGTTAAAAGAAAGTTTTAGACCAGAAGTCTGGAATTTTTTCCGTTTCATTTTGTCTTTGTCTTTTTTTCGTTTGGAGTTGGATTTATAAATAAATTTTCTTAGGAAGTTGGCCAGAATGAGCGTACACATTACACCAGCTCCACTCATTAAAGTGCACTTTGGGACAGATCTATCTATCAATTTGAAAAGAAGACCTGTAGGTTTTTACCCAAATTCAGCTCTTACTCACTGCGGAAATGTTACATGATAAAACTTGAAATACTATTAATTTGGCTTTCTAAGAGTGTTGCATTCTTATATTTATTTTCCTGTTTTTGCCTTTCATAATGTTTCAAGATGTCATTGTTTGTATTTTGTGTTGGAGGGCTGTGTATGTTGCTATTGTTATATTAATATTAATTATAGTGTACTGATATGCTTATTCTTATTTCTTTTCGATTACCAGCAAACGGGTCATCCAGTGTTGCCTCTGCTATCAGCAAGGTGGACACTGGTGATGTGCTTGGGGTAGGAACCAACCATGTACTTAGCTCCGCCCACCTGGAGTCACGGGATGTCATGTTCAAACACAGACATGATTCCATGTTGAAATATTTGCCGGAGGAGAAGGAAGATTTCACACTGTAGGTCTCTGTGTGTGTCACATTTTATTGTCATCATCACTCCCTTTTTCACCCTGCATCAGGGTATGGGCCACGAACAAACACTTCCCACCTCTCCCTAATCCTGGGCTAGCCTCTAAGATCTTATTCCATGTCTTCCCACTCTCCTGTCAGCAGAGTCCTTTTGGCTTTGCCTTCTGTCTTTCATTGGCCCTGCTGGTGCAGATACTCCTCAGTCTCTTAGAATTTAAAACATTTGATGTGTTTGTGTTTCACCAACTTCTTTTATTTTTACAGACTCCCTGCCAAATAGCTTTTTGGGGGCAAATTTTTCATGTAGCTATCAGTATTTATATGTTGCTACATATGGTACCATTTTGGGCTGTGATAGTAAAGATTTTCTTTCCTGTGTGACTCATGTAATAAGTGCAAGGAAATAATGGTTTTAGCAGCGTCCCTCAAAAAGAACTGTTTGTTAGACTTTTAATTGTGATGTTTGAGAAACAATTATGTTTTTCCACTAAATATTCCTTTCACAAGAAGAGAGATCCTTATCAAAATATGTGAAATGTCTCACTCAATCCCTTTTCCCATTTTTCAAAAGCTTAATTGATGCTCTCCTCTAATATTACTCTCTCCTTGAATATCACTTACTGAAGCAGCTTAACCAAGAAGGAATTGGAATAGTTTGTGATTGATTTGGGGCATGAAGCCTGCAGTTTCAAAAACTGAAAATGTTTAACTTAGAAATACTTCCTATTTTTCAGAACTTTTATCTCAGATTTTCTACAGGGTATTTCCCTTTTTAAGATATAATAACAATTCTTATCTATCACCTGGAAGGAAATTTTTCTTTTTGTAGTACCTACTGGTACTCTGGATAACTCTTTTCCTTGTGTCTTTTTGTGTGTTGATGCATCATGTATGAGGGTGGACTGGGCATGGGTTGTTGTCCTGCCCTGTACCAAAATGTTGCTTAGAAGAGCGGGCTAGTTTGTGAAATTATCATACTACTGTCTATAATTAGAAAGGAAACAGAGAACCTTATACAGTTGGGCACGGATTACTCAGATGCATCGAGGATTGACAAATGTGTTTGACACATCCATAACTCAGGTTAACCCAAAAAACTAAAGAGATATCACTCTGGGAATGGCAAATTGTACGATCTATTTGTGATTTTGAGTTTTCCGTGTTCATATTATCTGTGCCCAACTGTATATCCAAACACCAACCTTCCAAATCTTTGGCAACCACTGTACCTTCTTAATGTAGTCTTCGAAATATTCTATACAATGACAGAGAACAGCTAGTAAAGTCTATCATCCTTATCTATTCTACTTTTCTCTGAATGTTACTTTTCTTTTAACACCTTTAATCTTTGGCACTTGTATGGCCTATTTCTGTTGCAAGTGTGTAAACACTCTCACTAAAAGTAAACTGGACATTATATGTGTCACGACGCGGTGGAATCAGGCACCCATCAACTTTTGGGGATTTGGAGTTATTGATATCATCTTAAAGCATATTTATTGTGTTGCTTTCGATAAAAAATATACCCGTCTATCTTGAACAAAAGTCAAGATTATTTGCAATTAAAGGAGGTAGGGTCGCCTGGTTTCAGTGGTAAAATTAGTGAAAACATGGCTGCCAAAGTTTGACCATTTCAATAGCTCGAGAGTCCTTGAAAACGATAAAATTACGTATTTTGTTCTCTTTAATCAACGTTTTCCGGTAAAATTCACATGGAAATGTGTTTTTATATCAACATGAAAGGTGTTGAGCTTCTGTAAAATTCACATGGAAATTTGTTTTTATATGGACAAGAAAGGTGTTGAGCCAAAATACAAAAATTAGATAAAAATTGCCAAATTGGTGGAAAAGTGCCTGTTTCTTATATATTTCATTATTATGACGAGCACCTGATTTCAACAAGATGCCTCACATATAATTTTTAATGCTCATCAGGTCTGCTACGTTTCACTTTGTCAATGTGAGTCGGATGCTGACATTTGGCTTGGAGAACAATACCCCTGAGTTCCGGCCGGTGGCTGTTATGGTCTGGTGGTCAGGCTCACCTCATCTCTCGCAGTACTCTCTGCTCAAAGCTGCAGGCAAAGGTAAGATGTGGTTGGTGTCAGGTCAACACATTCAAGACTCATGATACACTGTAAATGTTGGCATTATCATTCAGGAACTGTGATCCTGACTTCGTTCTTTCAGGGCAGCTTTATCGTTTTTCAAATTATACCCGCAGTATACCTTTTATCACCACTATAGACAAATTTTTCAAGATACACGGTAGTTGTCTCAAGAAGAAATAGTGACTCCAATAAGTTTTTTTGTCCTGTAAAGCAGGGACAAACAGAGTTACTCATTTTACTAGGGCGAGAGATAATGTATTGTTCAAACTGATGTGGAAAGGGAAAAGGAGAGGGGGAGAGGGAGACTAGTTTCTGAGAATTGCCTCCTGGAGGATGTTTCTGTTGCCCATCAAAAGAAGATTGAGTCATCAAGCAAGTCTTGAAGGTCCCCATTGCAGCTTGATATTTTTGACAACTTTCTTGCTCTCAATTCACGAGCAGATACTGTGTTTCTTGTAAAATAAACATTTAATAAGTTTCTTATACGCAAAGTTATGTAAGAAAATATGGGAGGTATCCTTGAGTAAGACCACACGGTTTTTAATCAAAACAGGGTGTCACACAGTAGTTCGTGCTATTGAATCAATTTTAGTCTTCTTTTTATTTCATATTCCTGAGTGCTTTGAACATATGTAAGCTCCTTTGCAAATGAAATTTCTGCAATAATAAATAACTTTTTATCCTTTTCTGTTTTTTCCTCAGACATTGAATTCAAGGCTGACATTGTGTGGCCATTCACCAGCAATATAACCTGTTCTGCGGTGAGCCCCTGTACCACTCATTTGGCCCTTGGCCTGGAGAATGGGAATCTAGTGTTGTGGGACAGACAGCTTGGTAAATATTTTCTTATTGATATCTCTAGCATCATGGTGAAATTAGACACTCGTCAAAATGATGAAATCTAAGATGCCGGCACAGGCTGTAGGCCTACTGAATCTGTTGAATAGACTCTGTTATACAGAGACTATTTTTTTTTTTTTAAGCAAAATGAGAGAATATATAGATGAAGCATCAGGAATTAATAATAACGATGATAAGAATAAAAACAATGATGATGATGATGATGATGAGGATAATACTAATATCTATTCTCATAATGATAATAATAATAATAATAATAATAATAATAATCATAATCATAATCATGATGATAATAATAACAATAATCATGATTATGATGATAATAATAATAAATCGCCAAACCAGTGCCTCTTTCCTAAATGGATGTGTTTATCTATCTAAACAGTAGATTAATAAACCTTCTTTTGGCTCCACTTGTGACCTTCAAACACTTTCTTTTAAAAGAGAATTTTTCACAAACAGAGCACCTGTGGTCTGTTGGACCAATGTCAATATCAAGATTTGACTGTCTTGATTTTCTTTATTTAAAAAATTATTGCAGCAAACCTACACTTGTCATAACATGGCATTGAACAGAAGGACGAGAGCTCAGTTGTTTATGGTTCATTAACAACACAACAACAACATTTATTACATTTTAAAATATTTTTTTCTCCACAGGCTTGGACAAGGCGGTGCTGACTGTGTCGGACAAAAGTGCCCTCCGAAGTGTAAGGTTCCTGGACCCATGTCTGTTCCCCATGGACCAGCCCCACTATCCACCCTACCCCGTGTCCTCTGCCACTTTTCTCCTTACCGAGTGCTGTGATGGGAGCCAGGCACTGTTTGACACCTGTGATGGCAGTCAACAGATTCCACGCTGTATTGCCACAGAGTATGTATCTCTTAACTTTGACTGTTTTGGGGGGAATATTTCGTTTAAAAGTATGGTGCTTACCTCTAATGCCAAAGACACTCTTTGATTTCTGGTCATGCAAGACTGGTTGATGGCTAACCACGCTGAGGATATTTTGCTTGCGTTTCCCATCTCTGATCCCAGGGTAGGTGGGACTGAGGACATAGTTTTCTTAGGCAAAGATAAAAGGCCCAAAGATTCCAATTGCATATGTAGTTTGTAAGACGTCTTGATAGTTGAATGAAGAAGGAAAGAATACTTGTTGTAGCTGGTTGCCAGAGGCAAGTTTTCGATAAATTGCTGCTCAGAAAACTACTGATGATAAATTTGAAAGTCTTCAATAATTGCAAAATATACTAGCGAGCAAAAGAAATGTGAAAAACTATTTTTGTCTTTACTAAATAACCATCAATGTTGAAGACTGAAATTTACACCATCGATTGTATGTCATATGCTCTTTGGAAAATACAAGTTTCTGTTTTGCTTGTCATTGAAAAGTAGAGTTATTGCCCTTAATTGTAGCATCGAAAAAGTCACATGGGGCCTTCGAAACATTGTCTAAATCAAAGAACACCTTATGAAAAATACTCACTTGAAATCCGTTCAAAATTCGTAATAAAAAATAGGCTAATTGAGGTTACCAATCAATTGATTGCTCACATCTCGACTATTAACAGCTTGATAAGATATTTTCTTCTAAAAAATTCTACGGCAGACCTACAAAGGTCAGGTCGTCCTAGAAAGGCCGAAGCACATGCAGACAGACACACTGTCCGGATGCATCGTGCAAATCAACTTCAGACAACTACAAGAACATCAGATTTGATATGGAGTACCCACAGAAGAGCCATAAATCGATGCACAGTGAACCAACGATTGGGCCAGGTATGCCTTAGATGCCATCGACCTTACCGTGGTCCAGTCTTGACCGTACACCATCACCAGGAATGTCTCAAATGGGCTCAGCACCATGTCAAAATTGCATGTGAGAGACTGGTCTTAGGTTTTCTTTTTGGACAAATGCCTGTTCTCGACAGATACAACAAGCAAGGCCCTCAGAGTTTATCAAGAGAGCGGTGAACATTTTCGTCAAAACTGTGTCACAGAAAGGAATCACGGGGGAGGACATTGCTTCATGATCTGTGATGGAATCATGTAAGAAGTAGGACCAGTCATCTTCCAAAATCGAGACCAAGGATGAGGTCAAAGTGTCAATGCGGCCCCCAGCATAAATAAAGCTCTTTTTGGGCCCCATGAGTTTCATCTACAAATGCAAAATTTTAACTTTCGATTCCAGCAAGATGTTTGTGCATACACTGAATGTGCTATGCAGGATTTCCTCCAATGCTATGGCATCACTCTGTAGCTTCTGTCCAGCCTCACCCTGCCCTTAGCCCGGATTTAAACCCAATTGAGCATTTTTGGAACAAAAATTAAACGGCGCCTCAAGGGAAGACAACCGAAGCTGAGAACCATGCAGGAACTGGAATGGCCATCCAGAAGATAAAAAGGCAGACCCCACTACATGTTACCAGCAACCTAGTGGCTTTCGTGTACCGGAATTGTACTGCGGTGTTCTGATCTAATGGTGGCCATATCTGCTACTAAGCATTTAGATGCATTAAACAGAGTTGAAAATGTTTTTGGTTGAAATTTATGTTCTCAATGATGCCACATGTATCCTTTCATAATGCTAAAACACACTTTGTGTTTAGGTTTCCTCATTTTGTAATAAATGAAAAACAAACATGATCACCATTACAAAAGTTAATAGCATTTTACGTTTATTTTGCACGCTAGTATATATGACTGCATGGATGGCTACAAACGCTCCATAAAAGTAGGGATATATAAATTAGGCCTTGTATAAAAAGATTCACCACTGCCCCCCCCCCCCCCCTGAACACCCCCCTCCCCCCTTGTTTCTTTTAGGTTGGGGGGCATGACATCTCGTAAACTAATAATTTGCAATGGATCGAAAGTCAAAACTTGTGTTCAGCAGATAAAAATGAACATGAAAATTGCTTAAGAATCCTTGAGTTAAATGATACCTAGATTAACTTTGGATGTCAGTCAACTCAATGGCTAGTTTAATTCGCAGTATTTGCATTGATATTCAGTTATGTGACTTTTCCTGAAAATGAAAGCAAGATGATATTTGTTTATTTTTCACAATTTTAGATTTACCAACTTTGAAGACATCAGAGAAAAATACGAATCAATATGTTGCTCATATGACCTTATGCAGTTGCGAGCACCGTAAAACCCTCTACTTTAAAAAAAAAACAACCCAAAAAACGAATCGATACGCTAAGATATAAGCTTACCATCTTGGTACAATATGATGGACATGAATCATTGCAAATGGAAAAATTAAGCTAATCACTCGACTTTGGAAATGATTTAGAAAATATAATATAAACCATTATTTTTGCTCATGTTTCCAAGATGGCCACCGTTCCCTTGGCAACTGGTAGTTACACCCTCTTTTGAAACTTGAAAATTATGAGTAATTATTTTCTTTGTTACAACTGCGACAGGAACCTTTATCCTACTTTTTCTTTTAGAAAAAAAACATAAATTATAGAATCGAGCTTTCTCAGAGGAAAAAATATTGATCAATCCTGTTGAGCTGGGAGCATATATAATAACAACTACAAATGTATATTGCTAATAGTGTTAGGCTTAATTTTTACATTTTTGTGTAATTAAGGGATTGATAATGCAAGAATACTGAAACTGGGTAATTGGCAGAGAAAGGAAAGTTCAAAACCTACCATTTGAGAGCCTAACAAGCGACATTAACACTTTGTGCCCCCCGGGGGATTTAGATGGAGAACTGGAATAAATAGGTCAGAAAAGGAAGTAAAGGAGAAGTCTTGCGGGTGTATAACTATTGTAAACAGTTACTTTACTCTTTTTAAAATTCAAAGAACCAAAATAAAATTTATTTTTTGGATTTTTTTTCCCATTTAGTGGCATTTGTTAACACTTTGTGGTCACTTGGCACAATAATGCAAAGATGAAAATTATCTGTTCTGGTCACCTGGAGTACGACACTGAAAACCAAAGCCTAAAAAGCCTAAATGAACTTCTATTCGCAGACGACCTATGTCTTATTCATCCAAACCAACAAAGCCTCCAAAATAACAGTAAGGAAATGAACAACAGCTGCAGGAAATTTAATATGAAAATAAGCACATCAAAAACAGAAGTTATGAAAGTGAGCCGAAACTGTAGTCCCCTGAACATTCATGTCAATAGTAAACAACTGAAACAGGTGAAGTAGTTAAAATATCTTGGCAGTACTTTTTCTGAAGACAGGTCCATAGACAGAGAAATAGAAATGCAAACTGAAAAAGTCAACGCTGTCACCCACCCCTCCTATCTCATCCAAACATCCCCATGGACACAAAGAGACAGCTTAACTTCAATATTCATACCAACATTATGCTACCAGTGCCAGACCATTAAGTAAAACCCATGAAAGAAAAATCACCGCATGCGAAATGAAATGTCTCTGCAAAACCTTTAACATCACTTGACAAGACAGGCAGCAGAGCAATGAAGAAGTAAGAGCAGCTATCGGCACTGAGTCCTGCCTGCATTACATAGAAAGACAGAGAATAAAATGATTTTGCCACATGTTATGTATGTCACCTGGCCAGCCAGCCTCAAGAGCCTACAACACTAAGCACTCAGGCTATAAAGGAAGAGGAAGACCATTCAAAAGGTGGATCGAGGGTGTCAAAGAAACCCTGAGAAAACCTAATATCACAGCTGAAAGAGCTGCGGAGCTGGCCTACCATAGAAAACTGCATCTCCCCTCGACACTTAACGGCAAGCAAGGATTAAAAAGTAAAAGTAAGTAGGTCACCTGACGCAGTTCTGCTCCAGGCCCGAGAAGTCTGTTGCAGTTACTCTCCTGGCTGGGTGACCAGATGGGGTATTTTGTACTGCAGGCTGTGTGATTGCAAAGTGCTAAACAATTTAAACTTGAGCAGGGCATCACAAAGGCATGAAGTTCTATTCCTTTCCTGTATCCCTTTTACTTATTCTCCATCACCTCCACTCCCTCATCACTTCACTAACTGCAATAGCTGTCAGACAATACAGCGTCCATTTGTTTTTTTCACTAGTCAGCTCAGTCCTTTTTTACCCTCATTAACCTTTTAAAAAAGCATGATGGAAGCTCAGTACTTAAGCGTTCAGCTTCATTATTTATGTTTCACACCTGGAAATGTTTTTGTCTTTATTTGGTGTATAATTTATGAGGCCTTGTTTCTAAAAATTCTGTCATATGTTTATTGTTACAATTCTCTTCTGAATGAGGAACTTGGTTTTTTTTTAGATTTTGGACTCAGTTTTGTTTTAGACTTTTTAAAAGATTAAACAATGTAATATTCTCCAAACTATGAAACACTGTCAAAAAGATTGGACAGCATAATAGGTACAGTCCGTGCCGGCTTTAAGCACGTCGGCTTAAAGCACGTTTTGGACTCAAGCACGCTAAACGGCTCTTACCAAATTTTTGCTATATAAAATACACGCTTTTAAGCACGGTAACTTCGGCTTCAAGCGCGCTTCATTAATCATTTACAAGACAGTCAATATTTTCATGATGACCCATCGAAGTTCGAACACAGTCTACACCGCAGCAGTGGAGTGTGTCAAGAGAAACACAAAGAACGCAAGTGATGGACACACACACTCACACGGGCGGAGAGAAAGGCAGATGCACACAGCCTCGCGCATGGACATAGGATCTAGCCTAGGCCTAGGGCAAAGCTACACACGACCCAAAAAAATACAAAGAGAGTCGGTGAGACGAGAAAGGGAGGCTGGCTGCGATTTCACCTTTGACCCTCGCTATCCATTAATCCTGATTGTGTATCATGCGCGAGGTGGGATGAAGGCGGTGGTATGAGTGGCACAGCGGGCAGTGGTACGCACAGGCAGTGTGTAGGCCTAGTGTGCTGTATCGTGACTGGCCGTCTAAATTAAGTTTTCATTTCCCATTCGACCACAAAACAAAAACAAACAAGCGAACAAAAACTACCATGGTGGGTAAAAATAAGAGTGCACACTTTTGCGGGACTGCTATAGGCCTACTTACAAACAAAGGGAAATAGCACGAGAAATTTTCTACATGAAAATCTCTGGATTATGTCTACTTCGCATTCAAGCACGCTTCGGCTTTAAGCACGCTTAAGCTTTCTCCCGACGACCGTGCTTAAAGCTGGCATGGACTGTATTGTAAGAAAAACAAATTTCGTTTCAAGAAGAAAAGAAATTAGCTGGAAATGATTTGCTCAGTATAGCTGTCAAAAAAGATGACAGCATTTGACCGTTATACAAATTGTGTCATCAACTTATTTCACTCCTGTATTGTCTTTGTTTGAAATAGTTTTTCTTTCCTATCTTTTCTTCATTAGACCAGAGAATGATGATGACATCCAGACATTGCTGAAGGTTATCCCTGAACTGCCTGAACTGGTAATTTCATTGACTTTTTAATTTGACTTAGTTTTATTATGTAGGTGTTTTGATCATTTAGTAAATGGGATTCAGACCCGGCCTGCCAGGGCCAGTCTGGACTGAGAGGGCTACAACATCCAGCAGAGAGACTGCAATTCTCAATAAAAATTTTCTCCTCCCTCAGGAATAGAACTCTCTTCTCCTGCGTGCGAAAACGAAGTACTTACCTCTAGGCCATAGATGCTGGTTTTAGCTTTTTGTCTTGTATACCTTTGGCAGGCCCAAAGTCAAAGTGTATGAATTTCCTGAGAGTTTTGTTATAGTGAAAAAGTTTTATGATTAGAAACTTTGAACATTGAAAATGCTTGGCAGTTTTTTTTTAGTTTTATCCAAAACATGGCGGCCATTTTCTTGCAAATTTTACTTCCGATGCAAGGTGACCACCCCCACCTTCTTTTCTCGAAAATGTCTTGACTTCTATTCACGATAGATGGGTATTTTTGTCATCAGAAGCAAGACAAATGAAGCAACTTTAAGATGATACCAACAGCTCCGCATGCCCAAAAAGTGACGAGCACTTGCTTTCACCACATTGTGACACATATGCATTCTTGTAGAACCATCTGTGCTTAGCACTTTGTAACGACCAAATGCAGCCAGCTAAATGGCTTTTGTAACTGAAAGCACTTCTTATTTTAGACCACAAACACTTAGTTTAGAAAAAACATTGTTTTTTCCTTTTTCAAGCCCAGTAGCACTGGTACTAATATTTTTGGAAACTCGGTGGCATATCATGGTTGCGTTCTTCATCTGGTAAAGAGCAGTCGACACAACCTTACTTTAAGAGGGGATTTAATGAGAATGTTCAGGAAATGGTTCATAGAAAGTGAAAGGAGGACTTGCTATAGAGAAATGGAGGGGAAATAATAAACTGCATTCCTTATTGATGCTCAACAAGGAATTTGAATACAATGGCCGGTGCAATGCGTTCATAAATTTATTAAAAAGTCTCATCAGCGGCTCACAATAAACAACATGGAGAAACAGACAATACAAATGCACTGTAGGAAAAGGCTGTTTCAGCAAAATCCACTTTACCCAAGTACTTTTTTTTCTGAATAAAGAAAAGCATATTTCGAAACCATATGCCTTTTGTTTTGATCCTTGCTGGTATAACGACTATAGAGAAATGTCTAAAGTACTTTGTAGTTCCTGTGCATTTTTCTTGTATTTTCGCAAAGAAAACATCTCACAATAAAAAGTTGACGTTTAGGAAAACAAAATATAAGATAAATGGAATAAGCACTGAGTGAACCATCATAAAACAAAAAAGTATTTTTATTCAAATGTCATGTGAAAAAGTGATTAATGCACACACAGAACTTCTATATTTTATAGTGAAAACAATACTGTTGTGTATCAACCTCTCAGACTGCTGCACATGCAGTGAGTTCTTTGAAAAGGGAAATGGTTGAAGAAGTTCTTTCTTTATATTTACTTTTCACTTTTTTTGTGTGCAAAGATCAAGACCAAACTTTCCATTGGCAGTCTGATGATTGCTTTGCAGTTTGCTTCCTTTGTCTTTTCCTGATCAATACCTCCGCTTTTAGCATTTGTAGAATAATGATTTGCCAGTCTGTCAAGCGTTATCATGTAATTTTTTTTCTTTGATTTGATCATAGTGCAAAAAATGTTATTCATTCTGTATTTCATTTTTATTATTCTACTATTGTTCATTTAGTCAATAAGTCTGTTCTGTTATTCTTTCAATCGTGTATTATTGACTCATTTGCCCATCTGTAGATTTATTCATTTCAATTCTGGCTTTCATCTAGGGTTTTTTAAAACATTTTAATTTTATTTTTTCTGTGTACATTTTTCTTGATTTCATATGAAAGATAAGGATTTTATTGTCACAGGAAAGTAAACATTGAAGTTTAAGAATGTTAAGAAATAATGGTATATGCCTTGACCTACCGTGAAGCAATACTTATGGGCATATTTCTTTAACTTGGCGCTGCTTGAGATATTTAAAAAAGTTATAAAATGAATGAAGCTCTGTTGATTTTGTGAAACAACTATACAACTTTGTAAATGGTATGAAAAGACAATCAGCATTGTGTTGTTATATCTTTAAAAAAAGTAAAGCTTGTCAAGTACATACTTTAGATTTTTCTGCTAACAGTCTCAATAGCTGTTGTGCTCTTCACAGATAATCTATGTTCAGAAGAACGGGTCTTTGTATATAAAAGACATAGGCACAGGAGCTGCTTTATGTCAAGTTGTTCTCCCTCCCACTCATAGCCTGCAGTCACCATGGGAACCAATATTTGCTCTTGGTGGAGGTGGAAACTTTCTCTTTGTGAAAGGTATGGTAAAAGAAAGAGAATTTTTACTGTTTGAAGGTTCAATTTATTTTTTGCTCAGTATTGCTACATGTGCAATAATTTAACAGTTCTACCAATGTTATATTGCCACGTTTCTTTGTCAATTCTTGCATGTTATTATCTCTGCAGAGACTCAGATCAGTAGCTTTGAGTTTTGAACTATCATGCATAAACCTTGAAGTCTTAGATTGAATATTTACAAGCTCCTCTGTTAAAAAACATACAGTCATTTATAGATATTTTACATTATTATAGGGGAAATAAGCAACTTTGATATTTGATAATGTTCTGAGATTGTACCAAGTAGGAGTGACCAGCTAGGCTTGCTTTTGTGTTGCTAATGTTTCCTCTAAGACGAGACATTCCTCATACATGAACTTATGGGCTCTTCTTTTTTTTTGTGGTGCATCCAGCTGAAGGTACAGAAGAGACTGAGGAAGGAGAGGCAAATGACATTTCATGTCTGTTCATGTACAACCTAAAATCTTATCGTGAACTGGAGCCTTACTGGAGTCGAGAGCACCAGAAGAAGGATTTGGCAGTTTACACGGACTTGGACAGTCGGATTAGCAGCTTAATGCAAGAGCGGTGAGCTGAGCTCTTCCATAATGAGGATACAATACATAATGATATTTTGCTTCTTTTGTATTTGAATGAAAGTGGTAAAGTCTTTCCTCTGCTATAATAATCCCTGTGAAATTTAAGGAAGAGTAGATAACAATCAGTTTCTCCTATAAGAAAAGCACTACAGTACAAAGAACCACAACCCAGTTTAAAAAGGATTAAAATTTCTGAACATTTTTGGTCTGTTTTACACTGTTCAAAACGCAAGTAAACTGGATACTCATGATATTTGCTTTATTCATGTCTTTTTCCCCCTGCCTTTCTCTATTGCCCTTTCTCTTTAGCTTCACTTTTGTATCACCCTTTCATTCGCTATCTTGTTTCACAAGGAAGTGATTAAATTCTTGTATAGGCACTTGAATTACAAACTGTAGCCTTTTCGTGAAATGAAAGTTTACTGGACCTTTATGTCTTGAAACATGTTTGAGAAAGCAAGCTAGCCACATTCCTTGAATTGTTGTTGGCGTTTGTTATGTTTTCTTCTTGTCATTTAGTTGTATCAAAGATAGTACATAACAAGATGGGCCACTTCTCTCTTTGAGCCAATTAAAAAAGTGTCCTCAAAATTTGGTGGCGCCCTCTTCACAAAAGCGCACTCTTTGCGAACAGAGTTACCCTACTTGAGTTTTAAAAAATCAAAGTGAAACTAGCAAGTTTTGGGATAAATTTCGGAAGAACGCTTTTTTAAAATGGTTACGCTGACAAAAAACCTCTACCAGAGGAAAGGGTGATGGTTTTCTTCGTTTAATTTGACTTTAGAATGAAAGGAGAGAGGTCATTAAAATATATAAAAAACTAAAACTCCGCACTGAACGTACCCGAACTGCTGATGAACAGCAGTCGATCTGCGCACGCAAGGAGGTGCTATTCCTATTCTTCTTCTGGAAAAACGAAAGAGAGCTTCAAAACAGACTGCAGCGCCATCTGAAGCAAAGAGCATACTTCCTGCGGACACTTTTTTGGCTGAGTGGCCCATCTTGTTATTCACTATCTTTGGTTGTATTCAGAAGCTTTTTAATAATGAAAAAGTTTGGCTCCAATAAAATCAGAATGCACATTTTGCTGTATGGAATAGGACCTTACAGCCTAGTAAGCTATACATGAACTTGTGATTAAAACACCTTTTAGAGTTGGGAATAAAGTTGGGCAGGTATAGTAACTTGCACACTTTTCTTTGTATACATAGATATAATATATGTATATATAATAAGCTCTTAAAGATTTATGTTCAGAGAAGAGTCAGTGTCCAAGAAGTTGTAGTTGCTTGCCATATTCTACTGAGAATATTGTAGAAATGATCTGGTTTTAATGGTTAACCATAATTTTTCTAATGCTGTGCAACATATTGTTCATAGGTATCAATTGCTTTTCCGGAGAACTGTTTTGAAATGTTTTGGCTCAATTCAAGGCAGACAATTTTAGCCTTCCAATAAATTGTGTATGTGTGTGTCTGTGACTTCTTGGGTTTCTGTTCATTTTAAATCGTGATCGTATCTGTGTACAGACTACAACAGCAGGCTCTGCGCAAGCCACATATGCAGAATCGCTGGGGTCAGCTGCGCTCAGAACTGAGCATGATCCAGCAGGCACATGCTGTACCTTTGGATTCTCTACGAATTACGGTATGTTCCCATCTGTCACTTCAGTCATCTCTAATGTTTCTTGTACTTTTGATTTTTTTCTAAAGGCATTAGATTAAGAGATGTAAGTCTTATGGAAGTTTAGCAACGATACTAAGAATATTTTGCATAGGGATACCTCGCAAGATAAGATTAGTTCTGATTTAATAATGGTTGCAAAGTGTACAATAGATGCTGTAGAGCGTATGTACAAAATAAATGCAACTATTATAATTATTATTATTATTATTATTATTATTATTATTATTATTATTATTAATTTTTTTAAATTATTTATTATTAATTAGTATCTGATTATGATGTTAACCTGTCAAAAAATGTATCCTGTCAAAGAAGTCCGTTTCTAATTATTAAAATTGAGTATGCCATAACATGTGACAGAGCTATGAGTATTATTATAGAAAGTGATGCAGTTCCCAGGATACTTGAAAAGTCATAAAGGAGTTGAACATGTGGCTTTTGCTGGGCAGAACTAGAATGATTGGGTGACTGGAAAATGTCAGAGTACTTTTAAGAGCATTCAAGAAGAGGAATGAGTATTGGACAATGATCTCCTTTGTGTATTTCTGACCCGACTCTTGAAGAAGAAATAAATGAATATCTAAAGAATACTATAGTTTCAAACTGTTAAGATTATTCCTTCTTTTCATTCTATTGTGTCTTTTCCTTCATTTCCTTGTCTTTTGTAAGCATTTATGTACTATTAAGCTGGTCTCTATGTGTGCAGCAGATTACAAAGTTGATCTTCAATGTTGAAGTATAAGGTTGTTCAAATCCAAGATGGTGTGCAATTACTTTGCTCTTCCAGGAATATTTATTTTCTCCCAAACTGGTGTCTTTATAAAGGACAAATTGGCTGTTCCTTTAAAATGGTCTATACTGTGGCTTGTGAGGCACTAGCCTTCAACAAAGACAACGACATGAGCTCAGTTTGAAAAATCAAACTCACTTTACATTCTGGATGAATCATCAATCAATTTAAATCTGTGGAGGTGTTTTATGCCCTCTTCATCACAATTTGATCATTTAGGAGGCAGCTTTCAAACTTGCTTGTCAGTGTCAACCTAGGCTGAGAGAGAAACAAAGTTCCAGAAGAAAGACCAAGATACTCAATAAAAACTCTTTTCACATGGAAATCAATCTCAGGTTTTCTTCATGCAACAGCAAAATACATAACCTCTGGTGATGAATAATCGAATTCCTTACACAAAACACAGGTCAGAAGTACACTTGTGCATCTTACAATTTTCTGAAATATATTTCAGTTCTGTTTCTTTTCAAATACAGTGCATCACACATTTTATCCAAAATTTCAAATCATCAACAATATTTTTCTCTATTTAAATTGAGAATAAAAGAGAAATTTAACAGAAATAAACACTAAGGCTTACCAGTTTGATCTTTTTCAGTTTTGAGAGGTATGCATTGTGTTGTCATTATCTGTAGCCTGAACTTTTGCCATTCGGTAACTTTGTAGTGTTGTAGTATTCCCTTAATTTTTGTATTCTTGTTTTATTTTGCTGATATGTGTATATTTTATTTTTATTATATATTACATTATATTTATGTACATATAATTTGCAGACTCTAGCTGATTTGCTGTCAAATAGAATATGTTTGGTCATTTATTAATGTAAAAAGCCTTATGTGATGCAGTTCCCCTTTTCTAATGTTTGTCGCAGATGAAGGAAAAGATCCGAGGCTCTCCGGTTATGCTCACCTTTTGAGATCAGCTCACTTAATGTATATTATGTAAATTATATAATATATTCAAAAGAAAGCCAAGTCAAAATTTTAGAAGTTTTTTAAAATTGCAGTTTCTCAATCTATGGCAATTGTTGCATGTGTTCAAGAAATATTTTTTCGAAATTCAAATTGTAGAATGATTTTTTAAAAGCGAGAAAAGATACATAATGTAGGGATCGTTTTTAAAGATGTATAAATGCATTTGGTTTATTGTTCTTTTTTTTCCACTCGATTGACAATTGTTTTGTTAGTATATTTCTTTCTTACCCCCCCCCCCCCCCCAGCCCCCACCCCTCCACCCCCGTTCCCCGTTCCCTTTTCTGTGTGTGAATACTTAGACAGCTCTATTACATTTTTCTCCCATCATTATTTACCGTTCATCTTTCCCATTATCTACCCATGTTGTGCTCTGTTTGCTCTTTTCATTTAATTTTCCTGACACGAAACGGTGTCTTTTTTCTGTTGATTTTAAAATGTTGATTGTCCTCTCATACATAATATTACTGTCTTACTATAAAAAGTAGTTTAGCTGAATAGCTTGCATGAGTTTTTGAGCGCTTCAGTCAGGCCATTTTGTCTATAGGTAGCTTGACATAATTTTCCACTCGTTTTTCATAATCTATCATTGTCTTTGCCCTAAATGTTTCAGCTTATAACAGTTAAGAATAGACTTTAGGGTAACTAGTGCTGCTATTATCCTCTTTAATGTTGCTTCGCTAATTGATTCCTCCGTTGTTTTTCTCTATTCGCAGTTTTCAGATCCTTTCTACATCTGTCGAGTTTATAGTCAAATGTGTGCCCTCTCCTCTTTTTTCTGTAATTTCCGCTGTGTGTGGTCTTTCTCTTTTTCGTCGTTATGATGCAGTGCTGCTGTAGCACTAAATCCAGAATAGCTTTAAAATGATGTAAAGGTTTTGAAACGGTGACTTTTACATTTTTGGTTTTGAAATTTACATTTTTTTCTAGCACGTGACCATTTTAATAATGTTTATTGTACGAGCGAAGTTTTTTATAAAGCGTTTTTATAAAGCGTTCTTTAAAATGCCAGATGGACCAAGGAATACCTTTGGGCCTTCCTGTGTTGCATATAATTGTTGTAAGATTCATTAAGGACGGTGTTTGTAGAGTTATTCGATTCTGTTGATATGAAGAACTGACTTTGAATAAGACCCAGTTTTAAAGATCCGATGCTGTTTTTATGCTAGGCCAAAATATAAGGAACAATCATTTTAATTAAATTTGAAAGTGAAACCTGGTTCATTGTCTTGTTAAAGTTAAAGGTCATTGTAACGATGATACGAAGTGGTGAACCATACAGACACCCCCATTGATGATTTAACTTAACTTAAGGAATGTGTTCTTCCTTTGAAATGGCATTGATGATTGAGGTAATTTGATTGCTCGAATTGCTGAATAGACTTAATGCGGTCGCCTTAGAGAAGCTGAGGTACTGAATATGAAGCTAGGATTGAAGACCTTGAAGAGCTAAACAGAGATTTTATAGTTAGGCCTATAGTTTTCTGGAAACCTATTATTATTCATTTTCTACTTGTTGACAATACTATTGTGTGTTGTAACGAAGGCGTATTGCTTATTTGGTATGGTAATACTTCCTTCACGCTACTCCAAAAACGTCCTGCCTTGGGTGTTTTGTCGAAAAAAAGCTCGCGTTCCTAACGGGGCTCAGTAGTTGCGGATGGAAGTGTTGGAAAGGATAATATTTTCTTTTCATCGCCTACTGGGATTTCCATTGCAAATAGTATATTTATAAGTGACTATGTTTAGAGCCTTTCATCATGAAAGTATGAAAATCTTTTATTTTAATATTGATAATAAGGGCACTTATGATGTTGATGATGATGATGACAATGGTGATTATGGTCATGAGGATGATGATGATGTTTATGAAACTGAAAAGGGCAAAACGAATACATTTTATAATGTCGTAAAATTCCGAACAACGCAAAGCTGCT